TTGAACAAAATCAGCTGCCTGACCTCTACTTAACTACTAATATGAAACCACACTGGCATATGGCACACTAAGGAAGGGATTCATTTTTTTTTTTTTGAGACAGAGTCTCGCTCTGTTGCCAGGCTGGAGTGCAGTGGCAGGATCTCGGCTCACTGCAAGCTCCACCTCCCGGGTTTACGCCATTCTCCTGCCTCAGTCTCCCGAGTAGCTGGGACTACAGGTGCCCGGCACCCCGCCCGGCTAGTTTTTGTATTTTTCAGTAGAGACGGGGTTTCACCGTGTTAGCCAGGATGGTCTCGATCTGCTGACCTCGTGATCCACCCATCTCGGCCTCCAAAGTGCTGGGATTACAGGCCTTGAGCCACCGCGCCGGGCCCGGATTCATTTTTACTTACAAGCTGCAGCAGGCACAGGAACCAAATAGGCCACAGAGATGCACATTAGGCTGGAGAAAGGGCAGGCATTGATGTCAGGGTGGCAGATGGTTTCTAAGGCCCAAGGGGAGTTCAAGACTAGTGGACACATGACCAGGGTCCAGGGTAGGGTAGTATTTGAGCAATGGTTTTCAATAGGAACTGATTTGTCATCTGCTGTATGCACAAGATGGAATACAGTGATGCAACATGAAATACCTCCTTCCTCACACCTCAAGTTTTGCTAAAAAGAACTTTTTGGCCTCTTCTATCCTCACTTCCTCCTCCTAAAGGAAGCAGAGTGACTTATCCATTGGTAAATTGGGAGAAGCAATGGAGGATGAAAACGCTGCTCCCTTCTCTCTGATCAGCCTGTCTACAGAACACGACTGCCTTATGTGATCGAGGATAGAGCCCTCAATGTTGGCCCTGGGGATCCTTCTCTCATTGTCCCCAAGATGAAGTCAAGGTGACTGCAGGCATGGTTTGGGGTAAGTTTGCTTGTCCTCCAGGATAGATTAACTCTTACTTTTCTGCACGGGGCTACCCAGGGCCCCAGTTGAACACGGGAGGCCCTAAGTATTAGAGAGCTTGATGGGTGCTTGCAGATTCATGCATGATTTCAAATTCTCTTTTATTAACCTAAAAACTGACACTGTCAATTCCATCTGTCTGATTTCTGCGTCTCATTTCTCAGCTGGTCCCCAGTTTGATGTGAGGAGAGAGGCATTCGAAATATCTTCCTAAACCTTCCTAAGAGCAGTTTTCAAAAACAGTAAGAAGAACAAACACAATAGCAATATTTCATGTATGGCTTTAAAAAATATCCATTTGATGAAAGCCAAGACATAAATATAAGTCATAGTTCTGTAAAAACATTTCTGCAGGTGCAAAGGCGTAAGCTGAAGCATAGCAATCTGGGTTAACACCAAGAAGATTGGACTGTGTCTGTGGCATCTGTGTGTAAATGATGCATGCCAAGCACTTGCTAGATTCAGGCAGCACAAGAGTGCTTTCTTTAGCTCATTGTGGAGGCTAAGTTGAAATGACGTTGGGCTTTTTTTTTTTTTTTTTCCCCTGAGATGGAGTCTCGCTCTTGTTGCCTGGGCTGGAGTGCAATGGTGCAATCTCGGCTCACCCACAATCTCTGCCTCCCAAGTTCAAGCGATTCTCCTGGCTCAGCCTCCCAAGTAGCTGGGATTACAGGCGTCCACCACCACACTTGGCTAACTTTCTGGTATTTTTAGTGAGACGGGTTTTTACCAGGTTGACCAGGCTGGTCTTGAACTCTTGACCTCAGGTAATCCACCCGCCTCGGCCTCCAAAATGCTAGGATGGCTTTTGTTTTTGTTTTTGTTTTTTTGAGGCGAGTCTCGCTCTTTCCCCAGGCTGAGTGCGTTGGCCGGATCTCAGCTCACTGCAAGCTCTGCCTCCCGGTTCACACCATTCTCCTGCCTCAGCTTCCCAAGTAGCTGGGACTACAGGCGCCCGCCACCGGCCTGGCTAATTTTTTTTTATTTTTTTTTATTTTTAGTAGAGACAGGGTTTCACACATGTTAGCCAGGATGGTCTCGATCTCCTGTGCCTTGTGATCCGCCCGCCTTGGCCTCCTAGAGTTCTGGGATTACAGGTGCGAGCCAGTGAGCCCGGCCTGGACGGGCTCTTTCTTAGACTTTAGCTTCATATAGTTTAGGTGTTTGGCGGTTCTCCAATCTAATGATGACATCTAGTTGCAGGGAAGGCAGATGTGTAAGAGCAGAGAGACCATGAAATATAAACACTTTAGCAAATGTGGAATAATTAACAATATTTTTAAGGTGTACCAGAGGCCAGTTTCCAGAAAATAGCTAGAAGCTACTGCCAGAAAGACCTTAGTCAATGATTTGAGGGAGGTGGGAGAGAAACTGCTAAGGCAGAGAGGCAGGTAGTTGGAACACAGAATGTATTTTAATAACAGTGACATTTCTCAGTGGTAATTATGAACACAACCAGGGTGGCAAAAACACCCTTAACCGTATAAAGCAACTGACAAACTTGAGATAGGAAAAAACTTTTTCTGGTAGTTGGACATTCAGTTAGATTAGTGCAGTGACTAGGAGCCCACAATTTTCCAGTTCAAAAGAACAAATGATGGAATGAGAGACAGGCTAATAATATGCAACAGAAAATGAGATACTATTTCTACAATTTATTTTTGATGTTTGAGAGCCATGATTCTGTACCCTATGAGTAAACACAATCTATTTACTGTAAAGAGCGCAAGAGCATTGACTTTTTTGTCACGTAATTTAAAATGCCTCATACTTTTTTATTTCTAAAGAAACTGTATTTTAAATGTTTCACTCAAGAATCTGAAGAAGAGATTTGATTTATTAGCAAGATGTATGGGCAGAAAATCCTTTTTCCGTCCAGTTAAGAAAATGTAGAGGGTATTCACTTGTCCCAGGAAAATCTCCTCAAGAAATGTATGTTGCGCTGTAATTAACGCTAAGAGTGGGCGTCTTTAACAATTCCATATGAATTCTTCTTCTTCCTGGCTCTGGGGCTACTAAAAGCAACTTTACTAGTCATCAGAATGTGTCTGGGATCAATGTCACCCAGTGACGGGAACAGGAAGGCAGGCCAGCCTGATGCTGACTGTGCGGTTTGAGTGTGTGAGCCCACCATGCTCCGGAAGTCCTCCCCACCCTACCCCTACCCACAGGCATATTTTCATGTGGTTTTCTATCATAAGCGGGTTCCTTCCTCAGCTACCACTTCCCAGCTCTGTTCCCTGGATCCAGAGCCTTTTTTCTTTTTTGAGATGGGGCCAGGCTGGTCATGAACCCCTGGGCTTAAGTGACCCTCCTACCTCAGCCTCCTGAGTAGCTAGGACTACAGGCAAGTGCCATCACACCTGGCCAGAGCCTTTTTTTGTTGTTGTTTTCTTAGCCTAAACTGTATCTTGCACCTTCTGAGTCTTTTCAGAGCCGGGCCTATTCTTTTACACTCATTCTACCCACCTGTGTTTTTCACTCCATCTCCAGAGTGGCAGCAGCTATCTTCTTCCTGGGGGGCATCTGCACTTCTTTCTGCACTCAGGATCTGCTGCTTGCTCTGATACTTTCTGTGTCCCTCTGTCATAACATCCCATTTGCCATACATAGTGGGGAGCTTCTGTTTCAGATTGTAAGGAGGAAAGAACAGTCTCCTCAAGATGCCCTTTTGGTCTTGGTTATTAGATCAATCTCTATCTTTATTTTCAGTCTCAGAACCCTTCGTCTCAATGTGCCCCACAAGTAATGCAAACCAAGTTAGGGGAAGGCAGGACACAAAGCTCTGAGACATGTCAGGAAGAGATGGGGATGAGCCAGTCAGCATCCTGTACAGCAAATGCTCACTGCTCCTTATGGCATTTTTAATTAGAATTCTGAAACCTGGTATAGACTGAGCCTAGCTTCATAGATTGTTTCACCTCAAATCATCACACAGTTCTTACATGTGAGAACTTTCTCCTTAGAATTATCACCTTAGTGTGATCTGAAGAGCGAGTTCCCCTCAAATTTGACCTACTTAGACATTGCTTGCAAACACCCCATGCTGGAGGAAAGGCAGCGTGCCTGCTTCTTGGCTCTCAACCATGACAAATCCTAGGTTACCTTAGCAATGAGGCAGAAAACTGCAAAGAGAGCCCGACCAACTAAGCAGAAAGGAGGCCAAAGAAAGCCCAACTTCATTTATAAAATAACCAACATGATTTGATCTCATATAATGAAATAGACCCTGAGGAACAACTGTGCTTGTATAATCTTTGATCGTTTAATCTTTCTAAAAACAAGTCCTTTATGTTGTAAAACACTAGCTATTAATTAACATGGGAAAATGCTCAAACTAAAGAAGTGTATGTCCCTAGTAGTATTTGCAAACAGCTCCCTTTTGGGAATGTAATTCTTCCTTGGTCCCTGCATTATTGTATAGTTCTGACTCTTTGCTCTATGATTCTGACATATTTGCAGGATTAGGCCCCGGGTTTGTTTCATTATCACGTCTTAATTTTATGTCAATTACAATTTTAATGTATCATACTGTATCTTTAAACGCTATAACCATCTGATTATGCCTTATTATAAAGTGTTTTATCATCATCACCTTTGCTTTAAAAAGAAGTACCAGGAAACATACCTTTAATAAACAGAGGGTTTTAGAAAACGCACTAGTCTTCGTTTGTTTGCTTGTGTTTTGAAACGGAGCCTCGTCGCCTCTGTCGCGCCTACGGCTGCCAGCTGCCAGTCGGCCGTGCATGATCTCGGCTGCCACGCCAAGCTCCGCCTCACCGCCTTCGACGCCATATCTCCTAGCCTCAGGCCTCCTGAAGTAGCTGAATATTACAGGCATGCGACAGCCATGCCTGGCTACTTTTTTGTATTTTTAGTAGAGATGGGGTTTCACCTTATTAGCTAGGATGGTCTCAATCTATCTTCTGACCTCATGATCTGCCCGCTCTGGCCTCCCAAAGTGCTGGGATTACACGTGTGAGCCACGGCGCCCAGCCAACAGTAAGCATAGTTTGATTCATTTTTTAAAAAAGATATTCAAGCTTAAGTGGCATTTTACATTTTATGTTTTCAGTTATTTAATAGTTTTAACAATTACTTTACACAGAACCCCCAAATTGTCCGCAAACACCATAGGTATTTCATTTTGAAAAGGATATTTTTGATAAAGATGACTGGCTAAAAAAGCAAGAAAAGCAACACCCAAAATGTGTACCCCAAGCTCATTCTGGAGGTATTCAGTGTACAATCTCTCTTGAATCCTAAGCAAGCTGGTAATGCTTGGCCCAGAATTCCCAAATAATGATTTGTGTCTGAAATTTCCCATGAGGTTTTGCAATGTTCCATTCATACCCATGACAGTCCAGAACAATACTAATCCAGAAGCATTTTTAGGTAATTTAGAGTACATTTTTTAAACACCATCTATGCACAATACAATGATTAGGCATATTAGGGGTAAAGAGCTTAACAAAACATTGCTGAAACATAATTGCGAGTCTGCATCAAATCAAAAAGGCCACAGAAATATTTAGTATTGTATCTTAGTTTCTGTTAAGTACTTTCAAAATGTAATTAACACTAAAATAATTAGTACAAGAGAATTTGAGTTCTTGATTTTTGTTCAGAAAATTTTTACCCTTAATATATTAAACAAACATGGAAAACTTTTGTATTAAAGTCTTCCACATGTACAACATTTGTCATTCATTCATATATTTTTCTACTTTACTTCTTCACCAAAAATCGTGTGATGTCTGATCCATGCTTTGATGCTAGAGATTGTCTTCTCACCTGGCTTCTTTCCTTAGCTTGTCTGGCAGTTCTCTAAAAGTTAAAAAATATGCATGTGTACATGTTAGGAAAAAAGCACTGGCTACAGAAGCTCAAAAACTCTTTGTATTGTTAGTCTGGAAAATCTACACTGTCACTACACCCATTTCCCAGTGGCTGGCTATTAAAGAGTTACCAAACGACAAGGCAGAGTATCTCGGCAGCTCTGGCAAGTCCCTGAGGTCCTAGGTTCTTAGGACCAACGTAGCAGGAGAAAACATACAACTTAGGGGATGTCTTGCTACCCAGTGAGAGCATGAATTCCTCATTTGGAGAATAGGGAGGCCCTGATTCTCCCATCTAAGCGGGAGTGTTTTTCTTTTTTTTTTTTTTGAGATGGAGTTTTGCTCTTTCACCCAGGCTGGAGTGAAGTGGTGTGATCTCAGCTCACTGCAACCTCTGTCTCCCAGGTTCAAGCGATTCTCCAGCCTCAGCCTCCAGAGTAGCTGGGATTATAGGCACCTGCCACCACACCCAGCTAATTTTTGTATTTTTAGTAGAGACGGGGTTTTTGCCACGTTGGCCAGGCTGGTCTCGAACTCCTGACCTCAGGTGATCCACCTGCCTCGGCCTCCCCAAGTGGGAGTTCTTAAGGCAACTTGGGATTACCCAGTGAAGAAAATCTACCCACTTCCTATTCTCTGATCCCAGAGGCCATTTCCAACTCAACAGATGAGCTGGTATAGAAAATAAAATGACGTAGACCAGAACTGGACTCTTCCACTAATCCCACAAGTAACATTTTTCATGAGAATCTAAAACAATAATTACAGAAAGGGCTGCATTTTCTTTGGCTACTTCTTAATTCTCATATAGGTCTTGAATTTGCTACTAACTTGCACAGCTGAGAAATCAGATGACTTTTTTTTTTCCAACTGAAGTCCATGTGAGGTGATCCACGTGGAAAGAGTAAGGACAGAAGAGAAGCTTACGGTGGCTCACACCTGTAATCCCAACACTTTGGGAGGCTGAGGTGGTTGGATCATCTGAGGTCAGAAATTCAAGATCAGCTTGGACAACATGGTGAAACCCTGTCTCTACTCAAAACATAAAAATCAGCTGGGTGTGGTGACGGGTGCCTGTAATCCCAGCTACTCAGGAGGCTGAGGTAGGAGAATCAGCTTGAACCCGGGAGGCGGGAGGCGGAGGTTGCAGTGAGCCGAGATCGTGCTGAGATCACGCCACTGCTCTCCAGCATGGGTGACAGAGCGATACTCCGTCTTAACAAAAAAAAAAAGAGTAGTAAAGAGTTCATATATTATAAACATTGGCAAAGGGTCTGAAATAGTTCTCAAAAATTTAAATATAACTGATTAGCATCTTTTTAAAACATCAGTGTCTTTAGCAAACAACAATTTCAGGCCTTTCTCCCCTTGCACCACAATGGCACCCACTGACTGTACCCAGTGGCAGTTAAGTGGGCTTCTGGGGTCATAAATGAATAAAGTTCTTTGGAAAACTGTTTGGTGATAAATTCCTACATTGTCAAAAATATCCAAATACTTTTGACTCAGTGATTTTTACACACGATAATCTACCTTAAGGAATGACCTCAAAATGCAGAAAACAGTTTTGTTTACAAAAAGTGTGCTTGGTGGCATGATGTATAAAAGCAGAAAAATTTAAATAAGTATTAATCAGTATGGGAATGGTTAAGTAAAGTACAGTAGAGATCTGCTCAATAGAATATTGTATTATGCAGTCATTTTAGATGATGTAAGTTATGAATGGTTAGAGAACATGAGAAATGCTTAGATCTTGCTGTAACTGAAAAAAAGTTGAATACGAAGTTGCATATTGAATATTTCTAAGATGATCTCAACAGGTAAATCCCATTACCTTTTACTGGACTGCCTGTAAAAAATTTATCCTGGTAGATAAACAATAGTATGTGTTTTTTTCCCTCTCATTCTAAGCAACAGGTAAGTAACTACCAAAAGATGGGGCAGAGTTAATTGGTTTCATACTTTGGCCAGCAATGAAACCTTTGTATGTTGAACTGAGTTGGTCCTAGAGATAACTTATCAATGTTTTCAGATATTTCAGGATATCCTTAGTTATATGCAAACATGTATCACTGCCCCAATTCACCAAACTTCCAGTTTGGGTCTCATCAAGACAATATGTAAATTGTATTCATTTCTTTCTTGGTAGTGGTGCAAATGTCTTGGTCCTAGAATGAATGAAAAGGGAAGCAGCTTTTCTTGCATCTGTGACACGGGCCTTGAGAGGAATGGCAAGTGTTAGATGATGAAAGGAGTAAAATGCGCCTCGAATCTCAGACCAGGAATAAATTCATCCACATAATCTTCCACACCTGTGGGCACAATTTTCCATCTGACTTCTCAGGATGCAGTCAAAGCTATATGAGAGCTTCACTGACCTCTTTGTGACAGACTGTGCAGAGAGTCTGCAGGTTGTCCAGGGAACACTGTCCTCCTCCCCCATACACTGGCTTGATGTGATCCACCTGCCAGAAATGTCCTTCCCCTGGGTTTCTTATCATTTCATTTAGCTGCAATAAGAATACAAGTCAGCAATTTTCAACGTATACTGCAAGAAGTGTTTGTTGGTTTTGCATTGTGCAATCATGTTTATACAGGAAAATCATGGGGAAAAATACATCAGGAGAGCTTTGAATAGCTTTTATTGTGAGTAGAAAAAACCCTCTGTTTGAAGTTTGAAAGCAATAAGGTGTTTTTTTTCTCCCTTACCTCATTTTGAAAGAATTACAAGAAAATATAAAATACCAAGACTCCTGACAGATTGGGAAAAACTGGTTTTTCTGCACCTGTAAGTTAGTTTATATATTCACTAAACCAAATCTAAGAAAAGCATAACAATAGATTAGAAATTGAAAACTTCTCAATACTACTGAGTCAAACAATCTTTAATTGTCGACCTAAATGCTTTTGTCACTACACAATGGCAGTTTAATGTCAATAGCTATTACCTAGAACTTTTATACTATTCACCAGAGAACTTTCCAAGTTACGCGAACTGGAATGAAATTTCTAGAACAAATATCTGTAACTTGCATATTTGGAATAATTAAAGATGACCATTTAAAGTAGCCTTTATTTAGGCCAGTCCATATATACACATTTTATATTTAATCAGTGATAACCTACATTAAAATGGGATGTATTTTATCATTTTACCTGAGGTAGTAAAACCAACTCACACCATGGAAATGCAGTTGTCTAAATATCACAGAGATGAGTGTGGCACTTGCTTTTATTTCCTTCAACTTAACGGCTGCTGGCCTTGGGAACCCATGATTATGTATAAAGCCTGTTTAAGAAAGCGTGTCAGGCACAATGACCTGATCAATAGTGCTGGCCCATGAGGAGTCACAAGAGGCAGCAAGTTGGAGCAGTAAACTTTGTCCAGCTGACCTTTGTTACTGCCTGCCTTATCTTCTCTTCTGTGCTGAACTTCCCAACTACTGTTAGAAGAATGTATTGATTTTTGTTTTCGAGGTTGGCATTGTAAGAAGCTACTACAAATGGCGGTCTTGTGCATCAAGCAAATGGCATAGTCTTAGGAAAAAAAATCCATTTTGGCTTTGCCTTTTTAAACCAATTCCTTCTCTCTGAGCAGCCCCTCGTGCCTCACCTCCCCGAGTGCTGGGATCACAGTATGTGGCCACCACGCCTGGCCTAATTTTTGTAGTTTAGTAGAGACGGGGTTGTTTTGCCATGTGCAGGCTGGTTTTGAACCCCTGCCGACTCAGGTACTCCCACCCGCCTCAGCCTCGCCCAAACTGCTGGGATTACAGCATGGAGCCCGTCACGCGGCCCATGCTCCCTAGATTATTTTAGAAGAAAAAGTTCAGGATATTTCTTGTTCACTCTGAATATTTTCATTCTGTATCTCTCACAGGTAATCGAGCCCTCCTTCCTTACTTATCCTATCCTGTTTCCTCTCCCTCCACCTCCTTCCCTCTCCCCTTCTGCTTTCTCTCTCTCTCCTTCCTTTTCTTCCTTCCTCGCACTCTTTCCTCATCTCATTTCCTTTCCTCTTCTTTCATTTTAAATATAATCCCAGTAGAAGTTATCACAACCCAAACACAGAGTTACAATTCCTTAATTGTATACCTAAGTCTATGCCTTGGTTTCCACGGTTGTCTCAAAAACGCCTTTTGGCAGGCGCAGTTGGCTCACACCTGTAATCCTAAACACAC